ATATTAAAACATAAGTGCCTGCAACACTTGTTCTAGAGCAGACTCTTCTCAGTAACAAAATAACATGAGAGAATACTATTTAGTTAGTTATTCCCAGCGATATTGGGAAAAGCTATAGCGCAGTACCTATAAAAATGCATGTATTGGGACACCAGAAACTACAACAAATGAATAGTTGAATGAGGAAGTAGACACTTTAAGAGTCCTAATAATTTTGAAACATGGAGTGTGATATTGAGTAGGTAACTTTCTTCTAAGCTCGCTAAACTCAGTTGCTTGATGAACCAGACCGCCCATGTGTAATTGAGATAAAGCTTAAAAAACACTCAGTCTTATCAGACGTTAATATTTTTTCCTACAAGTGGTATTTGTCAACGTTATCCAAATTAAGAACTTATTTGGTCCGATTAACTATATCCTCGGTAGTATAGTGGTAAGTATCCCCGCCTGTCACGCGGGAGACCGGGGTTCGATTCCCCGCCGGGGAGGATATATTTTTTTAAGCATAACATATTCAACTATGCTCAAACATCACTGCCAATGTGTAGACACAACGTTTTTTTTTTATATCGAAACAGCCGCGCAGGCAGAAGCCTAAATGCCGGAACACCGCGGCTGCTATGATGATCCCAAAGAAATTTTGTTAATACGATTTTTGAACTGCCTAGGGTTAGTAGAACTGGGAAAAGCTTCCTCCCGTAGATTGTTCCACAATCTAGACACCCTCGGGATAAAGGAGCGATCGTATCGGCCAGTTCTGGATGTACGAAGCTTGACACGGTTAGGATGGGACGCCGAAGTCAGGCGGGTGTGTCTGGCAGGCACATCGCGCGGCGGCATCATGGAAGAGAGCACTGAGGAGCAAAGCCCGTTGGTGTAGCGATAGAAGAGAGCTAGATCGCCGACGACCCGCCGGTGTGAAAAAGTCCCGAGACTGTCTGTTAGAAAAGAGTCATCGATCAGTCGGACCGCCCTCCTCTGGACAGCATCGAGCATGGACAATGTAGTCGGGGCGGCAGCACCCCAAATGTGTGAGCAATACTCGAGGCTAGGCCTTATATGGGCCTTGTATAGAGTGAGAAGGTCATACGGAGAAAAGTACTTCTTAGCCCTAAACAAACAGCCTAGCTTTTTCCCAGCAGCTGCAGCTATTGAAGAGATGTGTACGTGCCAGATCAGGTCCTCGCTTTTTGTTCGTCAAAGTACAGTACTGTGTTTTGGAAGCATTGAACTGTACAAGACTGTTGCGTCCCCAAGCAGTGATAGCCTCCAGGTCTCTTGTCAGAGAAGAAGTCGTCGTTAGTCTTCTTTTTTCCAGCTCAGCGGCAGAGATCGGCTTGTAACTCTGAATTCCTGCATGTAGAGTGCTGTCATCAGCGAAGCTGTGGATTGGGTTGATCGTGCAGGAAAGGAGGTCGTTGATATGTAAGAGAAACAGTGTTGGAGCCAAGACCGATCCCTGGGGAACACCCGAGTTGACGTTGTGGGATAAAGAGGAGAATCCGTCAATTACGACGGATATCTTGCGGCCAGAGATAAAGTCAGCCACCCATCTGCAAAGCTTTTCTGGGAGGCCGTAGGATGGAAGTTTGCTTAAGAGGGCAGCGTGCCACAGCTGATCGAACGCTTTCGTGATGTCAAGAGCAACGACATGAGCCTCACCATGAGACTGGATGAGTTTACTCCACAGTTGCGTGACGTAAGCTAGGAAGTCCCCTGTGGATCGTTGGTGCCGGAAACCGTACTGCCTGTCGCTAATCAAGCTGTGACGTTCGAGGTAGTCCAGAAGCTCGCGATTTATGTAACTCTCCATCACTTTACTTATAACAGAAAGCAGAGCTATAGGCCTGTAGTTGTAAGGGTCGGTCTTAGATCCTTTTTTGGGGATGGGCTGTACACGAGCAAATTTCCAGTTTTCTGGGAAGGTGCCGGATTCATAAGATATCTGGAAGAGACGTGAGAGAACTGGAGCAAGCTCCGCTGCACATCTCTTCAGTACAATGGCAGGAATCAAGTCCGGACCAGAAGCTTTGTTGATGTCGAGCGACAAGAGCACTCGTCTTACGGTCTTATGCCTGAATGTTACCTCCCGCATAGTGTGGGGAACCCTTTGAATTGACGGCACTTGGGCGTTGGTGGGGACGTCCATGGTGGAGTTGGCAGCAAAGATCTTGGCTAGCACTTCCGCCTTGGCCTTTGAGTCGAATACAATAGTTCCATCCTGACACGTAAGTGGTGGAAGGCTACTGTGTGAGAAGTTCTTTTCAATCTGCTTGGCCAGCGTCCAGAAAGACCGACTGCCATTGCGCTGCGACATTACTCTGTGCCTAACTTTTATATCATGCTGGTTTTTGGCATTGCGAACCGCTTCGTTATATTTGTTTCTGGACTCGACGTCGGCTTGTCTGTTCTCTACAGTGGGGTTTTGTAAGTAGGTTCTGTGGGCCTTGATCTTCTGCTGGCGAGCAGTGTCACACGATTTGTTGAACCAGCAGTTGGACCCTGGTTTAGGAACTTTCACTGTGTGAGGGATGTATTCCTCCATTCCGACGTGGATAATTTCGGTTATTGAAGAACAGACAATCGACGCATATACGTCAGTGAAAGACATCTCTCCAAGGAAAGCTAGAGAAGAAGTCTCTGAGCCCCTCCCAGTCGGCATGTCCGTAATGCCAAGTTTTGCGACCTGTGCGAGTTTCTGCTGCCACAGCGGCTTCTGACCGAAACCTAACCTCCACAACACCGTGATCTGAGTTACCCAGGGGGGAACAGGACAGCAGTGCTGTAAGGGGCAGGATGCGTGGTCAGAAAGAGATCCAGCAGGCCAGTTGTCTAGTGGACCGTTCCTGACATGGTCAGAATCATTTCATATGATTTTGATGTAAGGTGTAATTTATGTACTGGGAAAAGGTGTGCAAATGCCAAATCATATCTTAAAAATTATATTACCTATACCAAATGAAGGGTTTCTTTTATTAAATTTCATTAACTTTTTCCACATCCGTCTCGTAGGTAACACAAACCTCACTTTGATGTTGTGCATCTGTATGTAAATGTATTTCCGTCGAATTTCACGGCTGACCTTAACTAGTAATGGCCAAAAATCTCGAATATTGGTGAAAGTTCCGATTTTCTGAAACTGTTCGATTCGCCAAACTAGCATTCTTGTAGAATCTAGGGTGTGGCAGCTGTGGTTAGTAAACTAGTAATTTTTCCGAATTTGGATGTACTGCTCTCTGAAAACAGTTAGCGTAGGACACAACATTGGCATTTTCAAGTTAAGCAATCAGTCCATCCTCGTTAAACCGTTGTTTTTTTCTAATGATTGCAACAAATTGAGATGTTCTAGTTCTAAATCCAGTTGTTTATATGAAGCCTCAATCGAATAAAATAACTCTTCTTATTGTTAATGACGGTTCACAACCGTTCATTTAACACGCGCACGCAGTGGTTGAACGCGATCCGAAAAACTAAACCTTCAAGCAAAACAATACTTCTACTTTTTTCAGCCTAACAATTAAATATAATTTTGACAAGCATGAATGGTAACCCAGTTCAAGTTTGATGCGGTGTTTCGTAACGTTAGATGTTTACAGAAGCATTACGGTTTTTTTTTTCATGACATTCTAACGAGATAACGATATTTTTAAGATGATATAAGTGAGAATTGTTAAACACGTGAGCTTATCTTAACAAGCTCGGCCATTACAGCTTACTTGATACCCCACTAGCGCATCTTGGTAAGCTCTGGGTCACCCTGCCAGATGAGAATAATATACAGGGTGTCCGCAAAGTTGGGGTTTTCCTTTACACGACGTGTAGATCTTGAAAACATAAGCAATTTTTCTTAGTACCATATACACCAATGTCTTAAGGGAACCGAGATAAAGGGCTCTGCAACATCAAAAATATCTGAATACCGTCCTGTAGCCGCGACCCTCGATATCTCAGACTGGTACCGGCTACTAGCTGAACCCGAGGACAGAACTGGGTCGGGGCCGGGTCAGTGTGTCAGGTCAGTCTGCAACCTTCAACCGACGGTAAAGGGTCACGCGTACATAGGTAACGAACCCGTATAATCGATTGCGTTTCAAAAAAATAAAAAATAATAATGGCACACTCATACACCAATAATGAACTCGTTGATATGTTGTTAATTTATGGCGAATGTCTTCAAAATGATACAGAATCGTCGCGAGTGTATGCAGATCGTTTCCCTAGACGACATCATCCAAGGCCCCGCAGATTTGTGTATCAGAGAGTCAGGGATACGGGCCATTTGGAGGAATTTCGAGGTGGGCACAGTGGTAGGCCTAGACAACCACGAATGGTGCAAGTTGAGGAAGAACTACTGAATCCCGTAGACGAGAATCCCTCAACAAGCACTAGAGACGTGGCTAGAGAAGTGCAAGTATCAAAAACTAAAGTGTGGCAAACGTCCAACGTGTACAAGCCCTTCAACCTGACGATTTTCCAGCAAGAGTGCGGTTTTGTGAGTGGTTGTTGCATCAACATGACAATAATCCGGACTTTTTGAAGTGCATATTGGTGACAGACGAATCTACGTTCACGCGTAATGGGGTGAATAACTTTCGATTTCAGGCAGAGACGTACTTAGCCCTTCTCGTCAACTGGAGAGTGAGTACTTTTTCCTTTATTTTTTTTTTACTTGGTCGCCCTCGTTTCACTACACATTACCTTTGTTATTTCAAGGGTAGTTGTTTCTGAAAAGGAAAACCCCAACTTTGCGGACACCCTGTATATTTGGCTGGCTATTGTTAGTTAAGGCCACTTAGTTATTAAACTTCACTAAATTGTTGCATCTATAGGCAGCGAAAACTTCCAGGTATACCGAAACGTGAATGAAAATATAAATTGTAGTACTCAGTAAGTGTACGAGGGATGTCTTTTAAGTTTTGGATATGGAAATAAAACAACACGGTAGGTAGTTTTAAATGACTTTATTGTTTTTCGAAGTATTCTCCACGAACATTAATACATATCTGCATGCCCTCGAACCAATTTTCGAATCACTTATTCCACTCGTTTGCTGGCAGATCCAAAACGGCATTTTTGAATGCGTCAACTGCTTCTTGTGGTGACTGGACCTTTGACCACGCAGTCTGTTTTTAATTTTCGGGAAAGTAATGAAATCGTTAGGACTTCGATCGGGACTATGTGCAGGATAATTCCACGTTTTCTTCCGGTAAATGCTGCCTTGTTTTTTGAGCTGTGTGCGAGCTTGCATTGTCTTGGTGGAGGATGATTCTTCTCTCGGGGTTGATTTTTCGAAGCTCGGTGATGAATTTTGGCAAACAAATGGTGGTATACCAATCCGCAGTAATATTTCTTTGCTCATTAAGAGGAATTGTTGCAATATGACCTGCTTTTGACACAAACTGGTGAGGTCTTCAAGGACGCATCAATCTCGCGATATGTCACATGTCTATCTTCAATGATGAGTTTGCGCACAGCATCGACGTTTTCCTGGGTGACTGCCGTTTTTGGTGCACCCACCCTGTAATCGTCGCAAAGACTCACCCGTCCACGCTTGAATTCTCCATACCAACGGGAAATTGTCGACTGATGTGGCGCTTCGTTGTCGAAAACAGTCAGGAACTCAGCAAGGCATTTTTGTTGCGATAATTGTCTCTGAAGGTTGTAATAAATTATGGCGCGAAAATGTTCTCGGTTGAGTTCCATTTTTCTGAGTTGGTGACACTTAAAAATTCACTGTAGTGAGAACACTGCACGTATTGTTGTGAAACTTTGAATTTAAGTTTACTAAAGAGTGAGGTTAAGATTCAGTACTGACGTTCGATCCGCGCGGCCTACTATGTTTCTATATGCAAAACTGAAAAGGCATCCCTCGTAATGTATTGTTCCATCTACGACCATTTCATAGTTCAATAGTAATAGTTTCATCCTTGCGGCACAGTGCGGCTTGAGAACATAATTGTATTATATGCAATATCGGAAAAAATATTAGAAGATATACTATTATTTATATGCATTTAGAACAGGAAATGCGCTATAATACAAATGTGTAAATTGCTGCTAGTTAAAAAGAAACAAGATATCATCTTCCATCAATCATGTTAATTTCGAATAATGGAGTATATTCTAATATTCGCAAAATGCATTCATCCGTCTTATTTAGAACAGAAATCTAAATAATAGTTGAGATACCTATGTATTTGGCACAGATGAAAACGGTGGAAAATGAAACAGGAGCGACATGTCTTCTGATCTAATGAGGATTTAAAAGTTTTAAATGTATGTTTTTCTATATTTTCTTATATGAACAGGAGGCCAAATATCAATGATGAGGAGGGCTAAAGCGGTGCATGTTATCTAAAGTTGGTCATGATCTGGAATAAATTGGAGATAAATTAAAGATAATTCAAAAGAGCGGTTTTCTAGCTTCCAAAGTATCTGGAGCATGACTTCATTTATAGTATGGTTTCCGACATCAACAATTAACTGAGGACCTTCCAGGTCACGTCGCTCAACTGTGGAACAGTTTATCCTGTCATACGGCGAGACCCGCATTATTGCTCTTCATAATAGAAAAGCTTCAGATCAGCTGTGTCAAGCTTTCTGCTCTCTTATGTGAACGTCCTTCCTGTTATTTGCCAAAAAGGTTTCCGTTCACCTTTTTCTCACGGCGTCCTCTCCTGCACGATGGATTCAATACCCATCTTCACAAGAGACAGCACTCTGTATGCAGGCATTCAAAGCGCTAAGCCTACGCATGAGCTGAAGAGAATATTTGTAGCGATTTAGCAATTTGATGTAGTTCATTATTGTACCTTAAACAGTAAGAAGGTTATTAGTTTCGGATAGTCGGAGATATCTCAAATTCTTACGTTTCCATATCAGTATCAGCCTACCTGATATGTGCTACTAAAAAACTGATTGCTTTATAACAGATGTATGGCAGCTTTTTAAAAGTCTTCAAATTACAAAATGTTTATAGAAGGGACACTTTAGACAAGCAAACCCATCATCGCATCGCCTTTTTACTTGAAATCCTCCCAGTACCATCTGTAGTGTGTATAAATAAGCGCTGGTACAACTTGCACATGGCATAACCAATAAATCACACACCAAATACAGCTACGGATTCTCCGAAAGTCTTCATTACTATTCTATCGCTTAAGTGGCCGCTTAAGAGTACCTGCAGCGCAGACACGTCAGTACCGTTAATAAGTACTAGTTAATACTTGGTGACCCACCTGTTTTGTTGTTACGACGCAAACCATCGTTCACGAGTATCTTCAAGGAGGCATGGCATTGAATTATTGTCGTTTAAGTATACTGAAGAAGCCTAAATCTCATTGCAAATGTGTGGCTGACTTCTCTTTCGATCGTAAGATATCTTTTGTAATATTGATGGATCCACCTATATATTGGCTTCAAAATTATTTCTATCACACATCAGGGCTCTTTCCTGTACGTACAAGTCCCATCCACAGTTTTTCAGACGTCAGCACGTGCAAACATTCGGAAGATCAGTCCGATCTTTACGAGCTATACCATTGATTCTCAAAGTGGTCTATATCGACCCGTAGGGGTCTATGACAACCTGCAAGGGGTCTATGTCAGCGAAAAAAAATTTGGGCGTCCATGAAATTAATATGGGGGTCCACGATAGTGGATCTCAACACATACACTGATCGTACCTATTTACTTACATCATACTATCTTATAATATCAAAACATGTACATTATTTATAAAAGTACCTATGAAGTAAAAAATTTATTATATATGTTTATAAAATTGTGTAAGTTGTAGGATGTTGGTATTCGCTTTGTAGACGCAATACATTTTGAACTTGTAAAAACCTGAGAGTCGCAGTCTCAGAGCTTCGCTACCTTGCACTGACTTGTTCAATTCGTCACTCTTTAAATACGAATGTGGTACAAATACGTTTATTCGTTTCCTGGATCTTGAAAAGATAGTATATCACACAAATCATAGTGAGTCAGTGTTATTTTGTTTGAGAGTGTTGGAGAAAAGTAAGTACATTATTTTTTATCAAATTTTAGTTTTATACTCGTAGTTAGCAAACATAGATAAATTACGCCAATCATGACTTTAGTTATTAGTAGTTAAATATTCAATCATGCAAAATTACACGAGTACTCCTCAATAGTTTCTTTTTGAAAGTTTTAGCAATCGGTAATATAATTACAGTGCAATCTCCGTAATTCGAGCTAATTGTTGCAAGAAGATGTTCGAATTATGGAATGTTTTCGGAAAAATCAAAAAATATTTTTAATATACAGCTGCTGGATTTTCTGTCTTATTTAAATAATTTAATTTTGCCCACAGATGACTGATGCCATGTCCGAATCTAAAAAGAAATGTAGACAGTACAGTGTTGATTATTTGAAATTTGGCTTCATTCCATCATTGCCTGACAAACAATCGCCTATGTGCCTTTTATGCAACAAAGTTCTGGGCAATGACGCTATGAAACCATCTAAACTGCAAGATCATCTGAGAAGATGCCACCCTGATAAAACAGAGAAAGATTTGAAATACTTTCAAATACTCAAAGATAAATTTCAGAAGAGACCTATACTGGACAGAATGTTCGACGTCACAAAGAAATGATGATGGTTTGCGGGCGTCTTACAATATCTCGTTACTTATAGCAAAATCCGGAAAACCGCATACTATCGGAGAGAAGTTAATTTTGCCAGCCGTTGAAGGGGTTTTAAAAACTGTTTTACACAAATCTGCATCTGATATCATTAAAAGAATTCCCTTAAGCAACAATACTGTTGAAAGACGTATTGATGAAATGAGTTCTGATATTCAAAGCTTCTTATGTAATTATTTGCAAACGACCCATTTCTCTATACAACTGGTCGAGTCAACTTTACCTGATAATGCAGCATTATTATTGGCATATGTTCGTTTTATTATGAATCAAGAAATCTACGAAGAACTTCTCTTCGCAAGAACTTTGATAACCGACACTAAAGGTGAATCAATATTTCATGTTTTGAAGGATTACTTCATTGAAAAAGCAATTCCTTTATCAAATATAATATCAGTAGCTACAGCTGGAGCACCTGCCATGGTTGGACGTTATCGTGGATTTATAAGCTATTTAAAACAAAATGTGTGAGGGGTGTTAGCAATACATTGCGTCATCCATCGACAACATTTAGTTGCTAAAAATTTGATTGTTAGATTGCATGAATCACTTCATTTAGTCATTGATGCAGTAAACCGAATCCGAAGCAACGCGTTGAATATGCGGTTATTTGCGCAGTTGTGAGAAGAAAATGACGAACACTTTCATCAATTACTCCTTCACACTGAAGTACGCTGGCTGTCGAAAGGCTTATGTTTGACAAGATTTTTTGCACTTTTTGAGACTATTTTAGAATTTCTGGATACTAAAGATAAAATTTTAAAAGAAAATTTAATGAAGAGGAAAACAGACATCGCCTATTTAACAGATTTGTTTACAAAATTTAATATGGTTAATTTGCAATTACAAGGCGTCAGTTTAAATTTGATTAAAACAAAGTCCATCTTATCAGCGTTTCTTGCCAGAGTTAAACTAATGAAGCAAAATATTCTCAGTTCCCCAATTTGTCGCAGACAAGCTGCTAGGAAGACGACGTTTCAACTTACGTTCAACATTTAAATGCCTTCTATTCAGATTTTGCATCTAGGTTTGAGGATATTTTGACTATGGTAATACCACCGTGGATAATTAATCCATATGGTGACATAGAAGAAACGAATGTCATAATACAAGAGGAACTGACTGAACTAAGTACAAACGAAGAACTTAAGGTTCAGTTTAAAAACGGATATCAGCAATTCTGGCTGCAAAACAACATACCCGTTACTTATCCCGTATTATGGAATAATAACTTAAACATATAAGAAGCGGAATTTAATCAAACTAACAGTGAAATTATTGTAGAGCATACGTTTATGTTATAATTAATAAACAAACTCGTTTATTGTACTATTTTAAGTAAAAAACTTTTTTTTTATTATTTTTCACTTTTTTTTATTTTATCCCTCTTATTTTTTTTTCAATGCCGGCACTTATTCTCAATGCGGGCACTTATTGGTCAGACACCTGTTTATTTAATGTTACGTATATTTTACATAACAGATACAAAATTTTATTTTGAGTAGTTTTAATATAAATTCAATTAATAAATGTATAAATTAACATGTGTTTTTATTTAAGTTTTTAACACTAAACTTCACTACAGTTAGAAATTTACAGGAAACCAATATCATGAGTAGGGGGTCTACCCAACACGGAAAAACATGGCAAGGGGTCTACGACACAAAAAAGTTTGGGGAACTCTGGTCTAGATATCCAGAAAAGTATGAGAGAGGGTATGAACCAAGTCCATTAAAAAGATAAAATAGCATAATTCATTATAATAGACGCAGAATAAATAATAATTTCCATCTGATGAATTCAAATCGGTTTGATATTAAACTGCCGCTAACTCAGATGTTATAGAAACTATACTAGGTAATTATGGTAATAATCAATGCAGATAGCGCGGTTTGTGATCACTTTCTACTTGATACATATTGCCGAAGAATATGCTGACGTACTTTTAGACGGAAATCAAAGTAATATCACTTTCTATATTGCTATCTATACGATTCTGCATAATGCATTTAATAATATGCAAGTTTCTAGATATGTTACCGTTAATTATAGAGAGAAGAAAGGCATTAATGCAATTTTCACCTGATCTCGGAAAACATTATTGTGCACATTGAGCTTTCCACACATATGTAAGGCTACAGTTGCACAACGGCATTACTCTAGTCTACCTCCAATGACGTCCGAGGTCATCTTTTAGTATCTTTAATTTTTTTTTGAATGATCACTGCTCTAGCAGTCTGGCTCTAGTACCACGAAGCTCTATTTTGGGTCCATTACATATCAAACTTGAGCACAAATGTACAAACGGTGTCAGATTCATTTTACTTTCTACGCCTAACGCCTACTGTTGATCGCAAAACATTTCGGAAATGAGATATTCTTTTTTGGATGTCTGTCGGTCCGTATGTCCATTCGCTAATCTTTGGCCCGTCTATAACTTGAAAAGCACTGTTCGGATTAGGATGACATTTTTACGCAAGGTTACTACTACGTCAAGGACAAAACAGCTTTATAGTTTTTGAAAATCGATTCAGCGGCGGCACAGCTAAGAGCGAAAATAGTAAAAAATAAAAATCGGTCAAATACCGTTGATGTTTCAGAGGATCCTGATCATATTTGGGAAATTCCACGAACAAAAAGCTTTTTAGTTTTTGAAAATGCCGAAACCGAAAAAAATCAAATCGTCCCATCTTCATTTTCCGACATTTCAAAGGGTCCTGATCATGTTTGAAGAATTTTTTAGGGGAAAATTGAGAGGTGGGGGATTTTTGGGGATTGGGGAATATATATATATATATATATATATATATATATATAATTTTTTTGTTAGAATAGTATTACAGTTCCAACCCCGACAATTCTGGGCACCTGTTAGACATATTTCACGCTTCATATATTTGTCGCGACATTTCGTAGTGTGAGTGCAATAGTATCGTAAGTCCGAGAAAATTTTTTTTGAGATAAGTGGATAAAATACTACATTTTGTGGCTACTGGTGTGTGAGCAAAACTATCCTAACTCAAAATTCAATATACGTGACATAATTTGGCAGTTAAGATACCATTATCCATTATTGCAACACTTATATTAAGAAAGCAAGACTGCCATATCACAGATATGATAGTCTTACACTCACTAGATGAATGCTGCGGCAAAACCCTTATAACGCGTAGAGAATGATACGAAATCACATTGAATCCATACCAACAGTGGAATCGCATTACTTAAGGGCCCAAACAAAAAAAAAGGTACTTCGAGGGAAATTGTAATTTGAATGCATGATACAAACTCTACGTAGAGATGTGCAAGCAATCAGGTAAACCCTTTGCTGAATATTACCAATATGCCAAAATATTTAACTTTGAATATAATATAGGTTTTCATACCCCAAAAAAGACCAATGCAGTATATGTGAAACATATACGAGGGATGTCTTTTTAGTTTTGCATATGGAAATAAAACAACACGGTATGTAGTTTTAAATGGCTTTATTGTTTTTCGAAGTATTCTCCACGAAGATTAATACACATCTTCATACGCTCGATCCAATTTTCGAAGCACTTATTCCACTCGTTTGCTGGCAGATCCAAAACGGCATTTTTGAATGCGTCAACTGCTTCTTCTGGTGACTCTAACCTTTGGCCACGCAGTCTGTTTTTAATTTTCGGGAAAGTAAAGAAATCGTATAGGACTTAGATCGGGACTATATGGAGAATGGTCCAATAATTCCACGTTTTCTTCCGTTAAATACTGCGTTGTTTTTTGGGCTGTGTGCGAGCTTGCATTGTCTTGGTGGAGGATGATTCTTCTTTCGGGGTTGATTTTTCGAATTTCGATGATGACTTTTGGCAAACAAATGGTGGTATTCCAATCCGCAGTTACAGTTCTTTGGTCATTAAGAGGAATTGTTGTAATATGACCCGCTTTTGACACAAATGTCGCGACCATCTTTTTCGAAACACTTCGAGAACGGATTACTTTTGCTGGCTTTTCTTCACCTTCACCTTCACCTTCAGCCAAACAGCCGACTATCATTTATTTTCTGGTTCATAACAGTAAATCCACGATTCATCACCACTAACAATGCTTTACACATTTTTTGAGTTTCCGGAATTGAAACGGTCAAGCGGTTTTTGACACCAATTAGACCTGACTGCTTTCTGCTCTTCAGTCAACAGGTGGGGTATCCAAGGATAAACTAATTTTCTTACTCCTATTTCTTCATGTAAAATATTTTGAATTGAGGTCTTTGAGATCTTCAAGGACGCCTCAATCTCGCGATATGTCATGTCTATCTTCAATGATGAGTTTGCGCACAGCATCGACGTTTTCCTGGATGACTGCCGTTTTTGGTGCACCCACCCTGGGATCGTCGCTAAGCCTCACCCTCAACGTTTGAATTCTCCATACCAACGGGAAATTATTGACTGATGTGGCGCTTCGTTGCCGAAAACAGACAGTAACTCGGCAAGGCATTTTTGTTGCGATAATTGTGTCTGAAGGTTGTAATAAATTATGGCGCGAAAATGTTCTCGGTTGAGTTCCATTTTTCTAATGAGTTGGTGACACTTAAAAATTCACTGTAGTGAGAACACTGCACCTATTGTTGTGAAACTTTGAATTTAAGTTTACAAAACATTGAGGTTAAGATTCAGTACTGCCTTTTGATCCGCGCGGCCTGCTATGTTTCTATATGCAAAACTTAAAAGACATACCTCGTAAGACTTTTTGGATAGCTGAAAAGGAAGGTATTCAAGAAAATTATGAATAACATCTCCGTAATAAAATGGCTGTACGAGAAGAGAAGAAAAAGGATACTGCTCTAGCTAAAGAAAATCCAAATCTGATAGTCGCGCTGTATGATATGGAGGCAGTTTTACCTACTCCGTGCTCTTTGTTCAGTGTTTTTTATTACAAAAGTAAGCTTGCAACCCTAAATTTTACGATTTATAATATTCCAAATCGAATCGGTTATTGTTATGTATGGAATGAAACAATTGGAAAGCGAGGAACTAACGATGTTGGCAGTTTCTTGATCCATTTTTTGAAGAACCATGATGGGTGTTCAGATGTTATATTTTATTCTGATAACTGCTGCAGTCAAAATAAAAATAGATTCACAGCTACAACATACCTCTATGTAGTTAATACCATGGAAAACACAAATACCATTACCCACAAGTTTTTGATTGCCGGTCACACCCAAAATGAGGGTGACAGTATGCATTCTGCCATTGAAAGAGAGAAGAACAGAATGCTAAAAGCTAACAGTACCTATATAGCTGCACAGTGGATGCCAATCATCGCAATTGCAAAAAAAATGGCACACCTTATGTTGTTAACGAAGTTCAACAAAGTGACATTTATGATATAAAAACATTAACCAGTCAAGTAGGAAAACAATTTTCCAAAAACACCAAAAATGAAAAAATTACATGGAATAACATTGGAATACTTCAGGTTAGAAAAGATTCCCCACAAAGTATATTTTATAAAACATGCTTTGAATCAAAAACATTGGAGGAAATTTCGATGAACCAGTCCAAAAGGAGGAAGGTGTCAGAGATAAACCTAGTTCTTAAAAATGATTACAATGGACCTCTCGACAAAAAAAATAGCTTGCTATATCCTTGCAAGAAGCAGTTGAAAAGAGTATCATGAATTTTATGAAGCACTCCCAATTTCAAACATTGAAAATAAAGACTCGTCGGAAACCGAGTAATCATCAGCACATGAGCCTGTATGTATTGTATTGTTTATTGCAACGTTATCTGCTAGTGTCAAAAATTTTGCATCTTATTTTCACTGAGTAAGCAGTATCATATATGGCAAATTTTGTATCATTACCTCCAGCCACTCCGCTGCAAGACTATCTTAACTTCAAGTATCTCATTATCAGTCAGTTATTTATTGAAACTCAAAAACATCTGCTGACACAAGTCTATGTAATTGAATTATCTGACTTTATCATACAACATTATTAGGCAAAATAAAACATTGATTATCTCAAAATCTACTATTTTTGTCATACGATATTACTGCTCTCATAGTACGATTTGTCCTTAAATATTTTCAGCAGCCTATCTGTCTCACATACCGTGTGCTAGGGAATTATTAATAAATATTGCATATTTGGTGGTCGATTCGAGTTACTTAAAAAGCAGGTAGCAGGCGGCGTGACACAACATACGATATGGACGCAATATTACCATAGATCTTGAGCTTTCTAGTGGTATATTTTTTGTTTGTATTTATTGTTTGAGTGGTTATACAAGTGACTGCGGTACGCAACATGCGTCGCAACTTGCTAGAGTGGAAGCAAAATGTTGCAGATATCAAAGCCGAATGTGCCGAGCACATGTTGTGCAATAAGTGCCGGCACATGAGTCTGCAAGCTGTTAGAATATAAACGTACCTTAACTAGGCCAAAAAATGAGCAGGTTAGCTGAACAAAAATTTGTACAAAGAGATTTTTCAAATAAACGTTGCAGTTAAATCAAGGAGCTTCTAGACTAGAGTTTTGTCAGGTAACGGATACTTTTTTATTAAACGTCGAAGCTTTTCAATTTACTATAGCTGTAACTATTCACCAATGCTTCAACGTTTGCCAGGTATTGCACATTTACTGTTAAGCAATTTTCAGTAAAAGCATGTTAACCCTATGATTTTGAACTACATGCAATAATTAATTAACATCTACAGTAAATTTAGCTTCAAGGTCTCATTTTACAGGTATTTTCAACACCTACTATGATTTTGTTGGCCATTTGTATTAGCTATCTACCTTTAACTAGCTCTAGAACTTTTCGTCAATTTCATTAGTTTCCCAGTCGAGAAAAATTGCTGCTGTGTAATCTAATATTTCCTGAGGTCGGCCAGATTTGTGGAGCTAATTGGTGAGATCCTTCCATCATCTAACACTATTTTGAGACCGTAATACCAAATTGACAATTGTTGACAAATTCATTCTGTCAAAGTGAACTTTATGAGAAATTGATATAAGGAGTGTTCATATGCAATATGCCCAAAAAGAAGAAAAATGAATGCGAAAACGAAACTCTAGAACCAAATATTCAAATTAGCGTAAGTGAAAAGAGTACCAAAGAAACTATTGTCAAAGAGAATTATTATCTTAAACAGCTTTTGGAAGAAAAGGAAAGATTTATATATCAGTTGGTAAATGAAAACCGTAGACTACAGGAAGCATATGACTTGATTTCTGCCAACATAGTAGAGAAGGAATCCGTTGTATCTACTTTGGCTATTGTAACTAATCAACTAGAACAACTTGAGAAAAGAACGTCAGAGAATACATCATACTCACAAATTTTAAAGCAAAATACTCCTAAAATCAATAGCAACAACAAGAACAACAATGACATGAAATCCATATTAGTTACTCCCGAAAGGACCCAACATTATAATGACACCAGAAAAGACCTAACTAGTAACATTAATCTAGCAAGTATTGAAGTCAAGATAGAGAAAGTAAATAATTATAAAAACGGCGGCGTCGAAATTCAAGTTGAGCAATGTTATTACCAGAAACTCAAAAATGAACTAGAAACTAAGTTGAAGGGAAAATACAATATATCAGGAGCAAGAGAAATGAGACCGAAAATTAAGATCATAGGCTACAAAACTGAAAAAAAACCTTCAGAAGCAGAAATTAAAGAAGAAATCATATCCCAAAATACATTCATTAATGAAAACGAAATCGAAATCACTTTTGTACGACACATACCATTCCGAAATTCTTATACTATATTCGCTGAAGTTTCTGGAGAGCTATATAGAGACATATTTATCAACAAGAAATCAAGAATACTACTAGGTTGGCAAAACTTATTTGTCTATGATAATAACCAGATATCGCAGTGTAGAAAATGCTTGAAGTTTGGTCACACAGACAAAAAATGTAGGGGCGCGGAAATGTGCATTAAATGTGGACAAGCACATAGAAGTGAAATTTGTACTGTAAACATTTTAAAATGTTCTAGCTGTATGAACTATAACGTTAAGCATAATAAGAATAATGATGTTGGTCACTCGCCCACAGACAAAAAATGCCCGTCGTATTTATATTTTCAAAAACAGTATTCATCCAGAATAATGTTTTGAGCGTTTAGTTCTTTTTACGTTTTTCGAGCTACATATCATTTGCAAAATTTTACATGGATAGTTACGTAAATAATTTTCAGGTTAATGATATCAATACAAATATTGCTCAAGACGCAAATGCTCTTAATAAATGGTTAGAATATTCTAATTTCAATGTTAGCTTATATCACATGAATATACGAAGCCTAAACCAAAATTTTGACTGTTTTAATATCTTCCTAACTACAATTAATCACAAATTTGATATAATAATATTAACAGAAACTTGGAAAATTAATGATGTATCTTTGTTCTGTTTGGAAGGTTATGATACGCTTTACAATAATGGTACGTACAACCAGAATGATGGGGTGGTAGTATATGTAAGAAATGATATCAACTACAGATGTGATTTTGTTAAATTTGATGACGGTATCATAGTGTTGGATTTGATATTGAGAATTAATAACAAAAGTGTAAAAGTCACATCTGTCTATCGACCACCATCATCAAACCCTTATACATTTGTAGAAAATCTTGAAAAATTTTTGTTAGATAACAAAAATGCCATACAGTCACACCACATCATAATAGGAGATATGAATATTAATATACTCCAACATACCAAATTAGTAAACAAATACCTCACTGTAATGCAGAGCAATGGATTCATATCAAATATAAATTTACCAACAAGAGTAGTCAATAATAGTTCCAGTTCTTGCATTGATCATTGTTTCATCAAAAATTTTTCAAATTTCTTTCGGTACATACCGTTAATTGTTGAAAACCATATTACCGATCATTTACCCACTGTAA